AGCAGCTGCATAACAAGAAAAGTGTTAGATTGGAACCCACAGGATAAAAGATCAAGTGGAAGACCTCGTGGAACCTGGAAAAGAGTCACGGAAATGAATGTACAGAAAAGTGGGAAGACGTGGAGTGAAATCAAGCGACTAGCCCAGGATAGGGAATGGTGGAGAGTGTTTGTTCGTGGCCTATATCCTAACCCAGAGTGAGAAAGGCAATGATGATTATGCTAATTAAAAAAAAATGCTCCCTTACCATTAGACTATAATTGTCCAAAAAAAACACCCAAAACAAATCCAGTTTGGCGTTTTTTCTACATGTTATTTATTTGAAGGATTGAAACGACAAACTGGCAGACCAAAACACCTCACGCTTTAAATTTGGTTTCAGGCAGGCCCGTCCTACTTTGTCTCCGTATAAAAATGTAGTGTTGTATTTTTGACGATCAGTGACTTAAGATACAGCATTCTAAATATTTAGTTTAGTGTCATAATTCAATGATATTGTCAAGTCAAGACATAACAATATTTACTAATGATATGCATATTCGAAAATAACATTGCTTTCCTCAAGCAGTATACCAATTTGGCGTGCAATAATTTATGGACTTTACGGAAAAATGAAAATTCTCATTAGCTTTAAGTATAGAAATAAGCAAATCTAAAAGCCTGATTTGTTAGTTTTATGCCTTTAAATGAAATGAAATTTGTGGCACAGTTCTGTAGGCTCTACTTATAGTTAATTATATATTGCTTCACTAACTTGACCTGAATTTTTATGCCCAAGCGACAAGAAATCTGGAAACATCCGATCATCCGGCGCAACTCCAAAAACCTTGCGTTCTTCCTTTCTTAGTGCGCCGTACTTTGTTCGCTGGTCTGGTCTTCGTTTGGTTCTCGCCGGACTTCATCTAACACAAACACAATGTCTTTTGGTGGTGGATTTGGAGGTAGAGGTGGAGGTGGCAGCAGCGACATCATGATGGTTGAATCTGCAAATGTGGGCAAAATCATCGGTGAGTAAAATTTGCTCTTGAAATTACCAATTGATTCAATTCATAGAATCAAAAGTAAAATGGCTGCGGCCACGAGGGAAACGGTTGACAATTTTTTTTCACCGACTACCTGAATTGTTGAACCTGTAACTTGTTGAGGCTCAGAACGATACTTTACTTCTTACCAAATGCTAAATATTTAATGTTGTGTCCAACTTGCACGGAAATGTTGACTTCTGTATGCTGAATACTCTCTTGTTCAAAAGCTTGTGTTTTAACTTAGCGAGTAGCCTATGGCATGGCATGGTGTGAATGAGATCAGAATGGCGCGATTGCGAGTCAGACATCTAATGGAATCTAGATTACTAATGCACATGGCTAGCATTGCTTGATCTAGATTTGGATTAGTCCTATAAGATTAATCTAGATCTAGTCTAGTATGTTATTGCTTAGATTAGATTTTGGGGAGGACTTCCATAACTTACGAGCGACCACTTTGAGTTAAAAGAGTAGAATAGAAGGCTAGGGGTAGGATTATTAGCCTCTTTCGGATTGGGGTTAGGGGTAGGGGCAGGTCTCTTTATTGTGTTTGTTGGGGCGGTCGCTCGTTACAGAAGTCTAGAATCATCTAGATCTAGATTCTAGATCTAGATTCTTCTAGAATCTAGATTGTCATATCATGTGACAATGGTTAAGTCAAACTTTGGATTTGGAGGTTGGAAAATTATCCATTAAAATGTTCTGTATGAAATGTTACAGAAGCCGAAGCCGAAGCATTTCAATCATGTATGAGGGGAGGAGTTCCGCAGAGGGCCAGCACTTAACATGACAAGGTCCACTGAGCAAATTATACAAGAGTTAGGGTTAGCCTAGGTGTTGTTGGCCGGCCGGCACTGTGCGGAACTCCTTCCTGAATGAGGAATGTTGGTTGATACAGAGCTAGTAGGCCTACATGTAATCTGCTTTAACATTGAATACTTTATTTTTATACTTTTCTTTTCAATTATTTAATGGCTGAACTACGCGGGTCGCCATTTTGTTTTGCCCGGAAATTCTCGCGCTACTCCTCTCTCTCTTTCTCTCTCTCTCCACTGCCCACAGACAAAATTGTACGCTTTTAGTAGGCTACAGTTGTAATGGAACGTTTGTTCACGGCACAGAATTCTATAATTTTTCTGTTATCACAGGGTAGAATTCTGTGGTTTAGGGTGAACGCAAAATTTGGTGAACGCGCACCGGGTGAGAATAGCCACAAGACTCGCCTGCACTCCGGGTGAGAATAGAGGTGGCTTTTTAGATTAGACTAGATGTAGATCTAGACTCTATATCTAGATGTAGATCTAAATCTAGATCTAGATTTAGATCTAGAATCTAGATATCTAGATCTAGATTTAGATCTAGATCTAGATCTACATCTCAACGACAAGCAAGCGCTTTCTTCACAAGCACTCGATGTATCGCTTTTGATGTATCGCGAGCAAGCGTTCTTTCTGTGCGTGTAGGGAGGCACTTCACTACACTACACCAACCACTAAAACAGACAAGATCTATTCTCTAATCTAGATTCTACACTAGACTACACTAGATCTAGATCTAGATCTAGATTTAGATTCTAGATCTAGATCTAGAGATAGATCTACAACTCCTACTTTACTTTATTTTAAATAGGCCTAATACTCGATCTATAACAATAATACCTGCTGGTTTGTGTCCACGCATAGCATGGAAGAGATTCACTTCCATATCAACATTCCATATCAATTCAGTAGAATCAGACATGATGTTGTCAAAAAGTAATTTGTTAGCCTAGTTTCGTTTTCCGTGACTTAGGCCAATAGCCAATAGTCAATAAGGCTAAAGGCTAATACAACAGCGCCGCAGAAATCGGCGGAAGCAGCTTAGGCTTAAGTAGGTCGCATACTGCCAGGGACGCCGTAATAGGCCTTAGCATTTAAAATATTTTTAACTGGGAAGAATTTGATTTTTTTTAAAATTCGGAATAAACTGAGCTGTTGTCACAGAATTCTACACTTAGTGTAGAATTCTGTGGCTGTTGTTGACTTTCGAATGAGGGTGCAAACACAGATAGCTTTTTTGCTAAGTCTCGTGATAAAGTTGCGCATTTTTTCGAACAAAAAGGCTTGCCATTGGGCCCTATCTGGTTTGGGGTTTGGGTGTTTTACCCAAAACGAACAGCAGTCTCGGGTTTGTTGACCCGGCCTAGACGACGCTTCGTCGCAGTCTCTGTAGGCCCTATAGGCCTAATTATGTAATTAGGCTATTGACGCTTGGCCTATAATGTACTAGCCTGACGGCATCTCTTTCAAATTTTTTATGCCAAGATTGCTGGCATGCCGGGATTTTATTCGAATGATAATACATAGATCTAGAAACCCGTTTCGCATCGATTTTGGTTTCTAAGTAATAGCTACGGCTGCAAACGCAAACAAACAATTCTTTCGGTGGACTACGTATGGGCTTGGCTACACAAAAGTTACAAAAAAGCCAAACCAAGCGGTCGCGTGCTCCGCCTAGATCTAGTTCAAATAGCCTACTGAAGAAATCAGTTTTCCTTATTTTGACTGTCGCTTCAAAAGCCGGGCTGTACGTGCTCCTATGGGTTTCAAAATCAAGCACGGGGATCAGTCAAATTATTGAACCATCATAGATCTAGATCTATATTCCATCTTTGTTTTTAAATCGTCTTACTTTAATGCGCTATCTACAATACCAAAATATAAGCTAAAAATACAACACAGTGTTTAACATTTTCGGTTTCTTATCAAAATCCTCGAAACTCAACTGTTTAAAAAAAATTAAAGCTGCAGCTGAATTAATCATCATCAATGTCTTTCAACCCTGGCAGGACGTAGGCCACATATGCTCCTTCCGTTTATCTCTGTCCTGGGCAAGGAGATTAAAAGTAAACTAGCTCGTTCCAAGTGAGCTTCATCTCTCCTCTCATGTCCCTTTCCTCACATCCCCTCCATGTTTCTCGTGGCCTACCCCTGCTTCGTGCCCAGCCGCTGAATTTATGTGGTATTCAAGGAAAGCATCAAAAACGAAAAACAAAAATCTTCTCCTGCTACACGGTTAGAAAATATGAGAAAACCGTAATGCACAACGTTGAAACTAGTAAGAAGAATTACCCATCTTAAAAAGCTCGAACGTTTCGAGTAAACCACAATGTAATGGACAAACAATGCAATAAAAAATAAACTACAATACTACATCTTTCTTGAATTTAAGTAGGCTAGCATTATTAGGCCTAGTTATCTCTCGTGGGTAGGCACAGCTTTGAGCTAGCCTTCTGTTCTATCACTTCTTCCACCAGTGCATTTGGGGACCTATTTCACCCATTTGTTGGAAATACATGTGTCCTGCCCATTGAAGCCCAGTATCACAAGATGTGTACCTTTACACTAAACTACACCCTTTCATTCAGCTTGCTTTCAATTGGTGATCCTAAACATCCAAGATGACTACAGCAAAACCAGGGGTGAACAAAACAATTATGAACATTTCCTTTTTTTGTCCCCACATGCCCAGTCGGGCAACTAACACATATATCTGTACTTGCTCAGTAGAAAAGTCAATTTGCCCGTTTTCAAACATGAAAACCTTTAGACTGTCTCTATATCAAGAAAGAAAAAAAAAGTTGTAAACAGCACTGATGCGGGATATAAAATAATAAAATCATGTGTTGATATGCTAGTAGGCCTACATGTAATCTGCTTTAACATTGAATACTTTATTTTTATACTTTTCTTTTCAATTATTTAATGGCTGAATATGATGGCCAAACACAATTCCAAAAAAACTCCTTGTCTTTATGAAGTGTCTGTTCTACTCTCCTGGCTCTGTCACCACCTGGTCCTTTCTAAGACAAGTGTCGCATTGTAGTCCATAACACTTGGCCCTTCAATGCAGATATAATGTAGTGGGTGGTTGGCGGGTGCTCTGGTACCGTGTGGTTTGCTTCTTCTTTCCTATCAAACGTCTATCGCCCTTATCTCCCCTCCTTCTTTTTTATGTTTGTTACTCTCTTGTAACACCTCTAATTCTAATCTTCTGGCGCTCATATGGCCTTATGCAGTTGCGAGCGCCGTAAAACCTCTAATAAAACAAAAGCAGACATGTTCAACATGGACAGGACATCCGTGTTGAGCTTTTCCCTCCAGTCAGATTTGATCCGCTTCATGGCTGAAAAAAAACTTTCTACACTGGCTGTGGACAAAGGAAGTGTGAGCAGGAGCTCAACTAGAAGTACATATGTAGTATGCTTCTCTGAAGTCTTCCTGTCTTTCTGGGTCTACAAGAAGTAACTTACTACAGATCTAATGGCCTTCAGTTGTTCACTGGCATTCTCCTTATCAGTTGTTTGAGGGCAGGCCATTTCAATGTCATCGATGGATGCCACCTCTCTCAGCTTTGAGAGAATACATGTACTCAAAAACAATGACTGTCTTGTGGTAATAATGACTTGCCCCGTCGGGCAGGTTAACCCTATCCATTCGCCCTGGGGTAAATAATAATTATGCACACGAACTAGCAAACACAGACGTGCCCCTCTCCCTCCACCCACCCCCCTCTGTCTATCCCC